CACTCTTGGTATTCTCTCAACCAGCTTCATGAGGTAGTCACCTGGAATGCATTTCAATTAACAGGTGTGCCTTTTTAAAAGTTAATTTGTGGAATTTCTTTCCTCCTTAATGCGTTTGAGCCAAATCAGTAGTATTGTGACAAGGTAGGGGTGGTATACAGAAGATAGCCCTATTTGGTAAAAGACCAAGTCCATATTACGGCAAGAACAGCTCAAATAAGCAAAGAGAAACGACAGTCCATCATTACTTTAAGACATGGTCAGTCAATACGGAACATTTCAAGAACTTTGCGACTGCACTTGAAGAAACTTTCAAAAACCATCAAGCGCTATGATGAAACTGGCTCTCATGAGGACCGCTACAGGAACGGAAGACCCAGAGTTACCTCTGCTGCAGAGGATAAGTTCATTAGCGTTACCAGCCTCAGAAATTGCAGCCCAAATAAATGCTTCACAGAGTTCAAGTCACGGACACATCAACATCAACTGTTCAGAGGAGACTGTGTGATTCAGGCCTTCATGGTCGAATTGCTGCAAAGAAACCACTACTAAAGGACACCAATAAGAAGAAGAGACCTGCTTGGGCCAAGAAACAAGAGCAATGGACATTAGACCGGTGGAAATGTGTCCTTTGGTATGGAGTCCAAATTGGAGATTTTTGGTTCCAACTGCCGTGTTTTTGTGAGACGCAGTGTGGGTGAACGGATGATCTCCGCATGTGTAGATCCCACTGTAAAGCATGGAGGAGGTGGTGTTATGGTGTGGGGGCGCTTTGCTGGTGACACTGTCTGTGATTTATTTAGAATTCAAGGCACACTTAACCAGCATGGCTACCACAGCATTCTGCAGCGATACGCCATCCAATCTGACCCAACACATCTCCAGGCTGTGTAAGGGCTATTTTACCAAGAAGGAGAGTGATGGAGTGCTGCATCAGATGACCTCAACCCAATTGAGATGGTTTGGGATGAGTCGGACCGCAGAGTGAAAGAAAAGCAGCCAACAAGTGCTCAGCATATGTTGGAACTCCTTCAAGACTGTTGGAAAAGCATTGCAGGTGAAGCTGGTTGAGAGAATGCCAAGAGTGTGCAAAGCTGTCATCAAGGCAAAGGTGGCTATTTGAAGAATCTCAAAAAATAAAATATTTGGATTTGTTTAACACTTTTTTGTATTTCATCGTTTTGATGTCTTCACTATTATTATACAATGTTGAAAATAGTAAAAATAAAGAAACTCTTGAATGAGTAGGTGTCCAAACTTTTGACTGGTACTGTACATCAGACTTATTCTTCAGCAAGGCTTATTCTGTTGATGTCTAGACTATTCTGGAGTTCTGAAGGAAGGAAAGAGGAAATGTGGGAGTGTCCTCAGCCTGGTAAGTTTTATGATAATAGAAGCATTATAGGAATTTTGGCAAAACAGTTTGGATCACCGTAGACAGTTTATTGAATTGGCATTTCAATTTATTACCTGAATTGATTGAATGGAAACTGTAGGCATTTTTATTGAACTAAAGACCCTTTTTACCTTTGACAGGACGAAGCCCAAACATTCACTTAGACTGTGGAGAAAGTTATTTAACAGACCACCAGTCTATGGAGAACTCAATGAAACCTCACTGCTGCACTGAATATGGCAAGACCTCTTCGGCAAAACATTTAACAAGGCATCAGCTTGTACAAAGGAGAGAAGCCTTACCATTGCTCTGACTGTGGGAAGCGTTTCAGATATAAGAGCAGTTTGGTACAACATCAGAGAACACACAGTGGAGAAACCTTATCGCTGCTCTGACTGTGGGAAGCGTTTCAGTCAACGTTCAAACTAGGAACACCATCAGAGAAAACACACGGGAGAGATTTTATAGCTGCTGTGTGAGGAAAAACCTCAAACGAAATGAACATTTGGTACAACATCAGAGAATGCATAGAGGGGATACATTTTTGTACCTGACTGTCGGAAAAGTTTCTTGGTCTTCTACTCTAAAGAACTGTACCTCTGCTCTGACTATCACCTGGAGGCATCACGATTTAAAATCCTAGATAAGTAAATATATTTAGTTGAACAATGTATGTAGGAATATAGCGCCATTTAAAATTTAAAGGCAATATTCCAACGTTCACAGAGACTGCATTCACTGTGTGGAACGCTGCATATTTCGGCTCAATCGGAAATTACCTTTAAAAAAGGTGCAATATGCAGAAATCGCTCCGCCATTTCCTGGTTGCAAAAAATTCTAATGGATCACCTAATTTCAGTTTGTGACAAAACAAGCAATGTTTTGTGTAGAGAATCATTGTACCATCTAAACCACTGTGAAATATATTTTCAGCTGTTTGAAGCTGGTGTACAAAACCGGAAGGAAAATAAGCAAAAATGAAATTTAAGCACAGGAAGCATAGAAATAGCTCACATAGAACAGATCTACCGCTTCTCATTGCTTTCAATGAGTGACAGATCTATAACTCACATTTCTATGTGCAATTGGTCAGGTCGCCCAAAAAAGTTACATACTGCAGCTTTAAATTTCAAGTGCGCTATAGTGCTGGACTTCGCCGATGCGGATTGAATCGAGCCCTTACAGTTTGGGTCAGATGTGACATTTCTTTTCACACAATATATATATGGGGTTGAAAGAAGACTGGAGTTCAAGCTTGTTGGTTCAGTGTTATGCTGGAACAGTGGTCTCGATGGTGTTATTGATCTATGCTGTTATTGTAAACAGTGGAAAACATATTACTACAGTAGTTGTCAAGTTTCCTCAATTCTTCTCAAAGCTCATTGGAGGAGAGGATCCAAGGTCCCGGATCTTATTCACATTCGGATTGTGCTACACATTGTAGTCATTGCATCTACACATGGTAGTAAAATGTCTCTTATCCGTCCAGTGTGTGTGAATATATCCCGGTCCCTCCCTGTATGCAAATTGATGTCAAATCAATGGTGTCACCTGTCAATGATTTTAGAGGGCGGAATTATGATGATTTAAAATTGGTTTCACCGTCCAGATCCGGCTACACCTGTAATCCGGCTACACCTACACGTGCGTGTCTGACTACCTGCGGAGGTGGGCAGGCAGATCGGATCACAATGCGCCTTTTAATTGTCTACATCTGTCTAAATATGTGGACCCAATCATAATGTGGACAAGATCAGGAGACATGTTAGAACCAGGTATAAAACGGGACTTACATTTCATATACAGTATAAAAAGACAAAAACACAGTCCCAGTCCTAGAAAAATACATTACCGTTTTTGCATTGTATAATATACACACACACCATTTTTTTTACTCCCATTTAAGCTCGACGAGTAGAAACCATAAATTAAAAAATAAAAATAAAACAATAAAGGAGTAAAGTGCATATTTCAGAAACCTCCCCCATATTATTGTTATTTCTGATCTAAAGCGAAGGGAGAAACTGCACTTGCCAGTCAAACACACACTTCCTATTATGTGCACAAAAGTGATAAACATCTGTTAGAAATGTACACATCCATGTGGAGATATTCTGTCCGCCCCACCACACAAAGTCCAGACTCTTAACAGATAGAAAACATATCGATATGGAGATATTGGCTCACACACACAGTCCAGACTCCAACTGATATAAAACACGTTCTAAAATGATGAAACACACTCAAATGCACAATACAGACATATGCAACAATAAAACACATTACTCATCCTACAAGTCTCTACATACAGCGGAGGCCAAATATATTGACCCCCCTCCTTGCACTTTTCTTAAATTCCCTATTTCTTCTCAAATAAGTTATAATTTTTTTTTAACTTTTTTTCAACATTGCAGAAGCATTTTTATTTTTGTAAACTTCAGTTGGCCACAAATTGAAGAATTAGAGCAGTTTGCTGCTGAAAAGTGCCAGTAGAAAGGTGCAGCCAGCTCATTGTTGGCTCCAAGAAGCATTTGTTGGCAGTTATCTTGGCCAAAGGCTGTGCAACCAAGTACTATCTCCGGGGTGCCAGTATAACTGCACATGGTGCTGCCTACAACATACTCAGTCTCCCCCTCGCTATCTCGCTCCCCCTCTCTCTCACGCTCCCCCTCTCTCTCACGCTCCCCCTCTCTCTCACGCTCCCCCTCGCTCACACACACACACACTTCAAGTAGTCTTGAAGTTAATGTAGGCAAGACTGAGAGAAGACAGAGAGAAGACAGAGAGAAGACAGAGAGAAGACAGAGAAGACTGAGAGAAGACTGAGAGAAGACTGAGAGAAGACTGAGAGAAGACAGAGAAGACAGAGAAGACAGAGAAGACAGAGAGAAGACAGAGAGAAGACAGAGAAGACAGAGAGAAGACTGAGAGAAGACTGAGAGAAGACTGAGAGAAGACTGAGAGAAGACTGAGAGAAGACTGAGAGAAGACAGAGAGAAGACTGTGCTTGTTTGAACTGATTGAATGATATTAAGTGATTGACTTGATGATTGTGCTGGTTGTGCTGCTCAGGTTCAGGCCCACGAGGTATTGAACAGTCAAACTCATCTCGGAAAACAACCTCTAGCCCCTCTACCCCTTTACAGTCTGCACATCTGGGCCCGCAACCACAGAGCATCTCAGAATACGAGTCCTGATCTAGGATCTGTCCATATAATATTATTCATTATGATCTAAAAAAGGCAAAAACGGATCCTAGATCAGCACTTCTACTCTGAGACGCTTTGTGGATACGGGCCCTGAATAGAGAAGCTTTGTGTTAGCATTAAGCACAATGGTGATGGATCCATCTATTCTTACTATGTTCTATGGGAAGGCAGCCATATTGTACATCCTATCAGAGTTTTGCAAATCTGCAAGCGGCGGGGGGGTAGAGGCTCAGGAAAGTGGCTGGGGTTCGACCCGTTTTCACATAGTTCCAGATAGAAATAAAGTAGAAATTAAACAGTTATTGCATACACACATTCATCACTTTGGTGTCTCGCGCTCTCACACACACACACACACACACACACACACACACACACAGAGAACAGTGTGAGGGTCACATAGTGTGGTAGAAGGTGCTGACAGTCTGTTTCTTCAGCCTATGTAGGGGGTGTGTCCTTCCGTACTGCTGTCGTGTTGCCACGACGATCAGGTCAGGCATCGGCGAGGGGGCGTGACCAGAGTCAGGCGGAGGAGAATGCAAGTGTTCTGAGGGGGTGTGTCCACCCTTACAAGGCCCCTCCCCTCCGGTCCTGAGGGACTCTGGCCTGCTGGTTGAGACAGAAGAAGTCAGACAGGGGGCATTGTGGGATAGCACCCTCAGTTTCTTGGAGGACTCGTCAGCTGCCACCAAAGGAGGGAAGGGTTCCACGGTGGGGCTAAGCTCCCAGCCGCTCAGGTCATTGGCCGACAGCTCTAGGCAGCCCAGCTTAGCCAATGAGGCAGAGCGCTTCATCAGGGAGGGCGGGGTCAGTCCAGCCCGGCGAATCCGGGCCTCCATCTCCCTGGCTCTCTGCCGGTCGCCCCCCCTGCTCCCCTTCTGCCTCGCCTCCACACCTTCCCCCCACACCTGGCCCATACACCTGGGCTCCTTGGCCCCGTCCCCGCTCTCCTGGCGACGGAACGCCCCCATCTCCCGTGTCTCCCTCATGATGTCACCGCGTCCTCGTCCCGGGGACCTACCCCAGTTCGTGCCCGACTCCAACTCAGTCACCCCCTCCAGACAAAGGAAGTCCACGGAGGACAGGGGGGCATAGCAGAAGGCAGTGTGGCGAGGGGTGATGGAGGCAGGGTGGTGGGAGGGGTCGAGTGGGAGGGACGGGGGAGTTGGGGAGGGGGAGCCGTGCTCCTGCCTCATTCGCTGCTCCAGCTGTCGGGTGACGCGGCGCACAGAGCCCATTGCCCAATCACCAGAGAGAGGGGTGGGAGGAGAGTGGGAGGCAGCTTCCATCTCCTTTGCTTTGTCCTTCACTTCCTCTTTGACAGCCTTCACTTCCTGCTGTGACTTTGCAACTTTCTCCTCTACTTCCTGGTCTGACTGACACATTTCCTGGTCCTGGGAGGCTGTAGACTCTGGTTGGCTGGAAGGACCAGGGGAAGGGGCCACAGTGTGCATCAAGGACTCCAGTTCTGTGACTATGAGGTGAACAGAGACGACGTTCTCCTGAGAGAAAGAAGAGAGAAAACCAAGCAGTAAGTAAAGTATAGAAGTAGTCTTGGTAGCTAAAAATTCATTTCCAAAGTATATTTTATTTATAAAGCTGCAATATGGAACTTTTTGGGGCGACCCGACCAAATCTACATAGAAATGTGAGTTATAGATCTGTCATTCTCATTGAAAGTGAGTCTAAGAAGCGGTAGATCGGGTTCTACGTGCGATATTTCTCCGTGTTAACCCTCGCAAGGCTGCCGGCCCAGACGGCATCCCTAGCTGCGTCCTCAGAGCATGCGCAGACCAGCTGGCTGGAGTGTTTACGGACATATTCAATCTCTCTCCATCCCAGTCTGCTGTCCCCACTTGCTTCAAGATGTCAACCATTGTTCCTGAACCCAAGAAAGCAAAGGTAACTGAACTAAATGACTATTGCCCCGTAGCACTCACTTCTGTTATCATGAAGTGCTTTGAGAGGCTAGTTAAGGATCATATCACCTCTACCTTACCTGACACCCTAGACCCACTGCAATTTGCTAACTTGCATACCGCCCCAATAGATCCACGGATGATGCAATCGCCATCGCACTGCACACTGCCCTATCCCATCTGGACAAGAGGAATACCTATGTAAGAATGCTGTTCATTGTCTATAGCTCAGCCTTCAACAACATAGTACCCTCCAAGCTCATCATTAAGCTCGGGGCCCTGGGTCTGAACCCCGCCCTGTACAACTGGGTCCTGGACTTCCTGACGGGCCGCCCCCAGGTGGTGAAGGTAGACAACAACACCTCCACTTCGCTGATCCTCAACACAGGGGCCCCACAAGGGTGCGTGCTCAGCCCCCTCCTGTACTCCCTGTTCACCCATGACTGTGTGGCCACGCACGCCTAGGGCTGTTACGGTGACCGTATTACCGCCACACCGGCAGTCAAATTCCATGTGACCGTTTAGTCACGGTAATTAGGCTTCTCCAAACTCTGATGCTGCTGATGGTCATTAGTAGTCTTTAAAAATAAATAAAAAAGTTTGGTAAAGCTAAACGTTCTCATCTGTTGGGTCAGCCACATTGCATTTAAAAAAATGTTTTATGCTAGTGGTTGTATTAATTTGGGATCTATCGCATCCCACAACTGTCCCAGACTATGTTTGGAATATTTATTTGTCGCACAGAATAGGTAGACTTTTGTACTATGGGGGATAGTAGATTGCCATAGGCTAGTGCTTTTCCTGTTCGTTAGGCCTACTCATCTTGTTGGCTGACGAAAAGTAAATGTGGACAGTTCTTCCAATATCGTCAATATGCACCTTGGAATTGGATAAGGACGCGCGCAGTTGCTTCCCCGATGTGTCTGTCTTCACTTGTAGCCTGTGAGAAAGACCCGATTACGTGATGAGAGCGCGCAGCACTCAGAGAGAAGGGCACAACAAAGGCATGGATTTTTTTAGGGGGCCATTTCGGCCACACAAAGGGAATGACGCTGTGAAATTCGAGGCATTATCAAGTGCTTGTCAAATTGTGAATGAGAGACTGATGAAGTGTGTGCAGCCTGTGCAAAAAAACAAAAGCAGAGCTCATGCCTTTTCAAGCGACCTTTTTCAAATCATCATTAGAGTCGCATCATGCAGCCTTAAAAAAAGTTCTTAAAAATCAAAACATATAGCCCAACGTTTGCCGAAACCGAGATGACCCGCTACATGGAAGAGAAGGAACCCCCGGTCATGGTGGCCTTTTCCTTTATACTCCGGACTCCACATAATGTTTACATACTGCTTTACTCATTTTATATGTATATACTGGCTACACCCGCAATAACATCTGCTAAATATGTGTATGCGACCAATAACATTTTATTTGATTTTGGAAGGCCATCCTATTTCAGGCAGTTTTCTTTTTCAAACCGCTCTTACACTTAAAAAGGGCATTATCATAATTTTCATTTCACAGTATTATTCCAACCTCACAGTGTGGGAATATATACTGTATAGAACACAGGAAAAATCACGTTTTTGACTGCACTGGGCCTTTTAAGATCCCCTCTATCCTGTATGAAAATTATTTAACTCTACTGGGAAAAAAAAGGTTTTAAAATTTGAAGCTACACATTTTCAACGGTGCATGTTCTACTTCCACGTGGAACAGCTGTATTGCAGCTACAGTTAGTAAAACCTCATCTAAATCACTGAAACAATGATTGTTTTCATTACATTGTAAAGATTCTTTCCTGTTACAGCATTTCATTATCATCACCACCACCATCTTTAAAATAGTCAAATGACAACTATCGGCTACGCTCACAGGACTGTACCCTTTTGACTGTGTCTAAGGTTAGATTTAAGCATATGTACTTTGGACGGTGTCCATATTGATCATGTCCGTGCTTACAAATATCTGGGCATCTGGATAGGTGAAAAGCTGTCTTTTTAAAAAGAATATTGATGAGTTAGTTAAGAAGCTGAGAATAAAAATTGACTTCTTCTATAGAAACAGGTCCTGCCTCTCGCTAAATAGTAGAAAGCTGATTATTCAGTCGACGTTCCAATCGGTCCTGGACTATGACGACGTCATCTATATAAACGCAGCTGCCACTTCATTAAAGCTGTTAAGACGCAGTTTATTATTGCGCTTAATTACGGGGGACAGATTTAGTACTCATCACTGCATTCTCTACCAGAACGTTGGCTGGCCCTCTATGATGTCACGTAGGTTAATACATTGCTATGTTTTCATTTATAAAGCCCCTAACATCTTTACTAAACTTTAGACATGAGTTTCCACACCCCTGTCTCAGGGATGGCTAACTCTGGAAATTCCTTTGGTCTCTACTGAGTTAACTAAATGCTGATTTACTTTTCTTGCACCTTATTTGTGGAACACTCTTCAAAATGTTAAATTTGATGTTTTGGTGCCTCTAGGGTAATTCAGAAAGCTGATTGAGGACTTTATTACTGATGAATGTGTTTGTTTTTTATGACAGTGTTTTTCTTCCTGCTTGCATTTATATTTTGATGTATTTTCTGTAATTCAGGGCTGATCTATAAAAAGAGACCTTGGTCTCAGTATGACTCCCTGATAAAATAAAGGTCACATAAAATTTAAATAAGGCCCGTAAAGGGCTGGGTAAAAAAAGCGTTCCAGTTCCCCTCCACTTGCAACAAGCTATAAAAGGACATGGAATTGCAGGACCTCATCTCCTTGAATGAGTTCAAAGCTAGGGTCCAAACTATGGTGGACTAAGTGGGGGGCTGGCAATGTTTTGACCCCAGGATGCATCACACCTCCCCAAATAATTATTGCCTGTTCAATGTGTAAATGGATGTTTTTAAACCGTAGTGCTTTGTTTTTAATGTTGTAATTGTGTCTGAAACTTTGTGTGCTGAATATTTTGGCCAGGTCTCTCTTGGAAAAGAGATTGTTAATCTCTCTGGAGACTAACCTGGTAAAATAATGGTAGAATATATTTCAAAAAATGGTCTCACCCTCTTCCTCTCCTTGACCTCCTCAGTCGCCTCAGCAGAGGGGTCCTCCTGCTGCTGCTCCTGTCCTGGACCCCTGGGTATGGGCTGAGGTGTCTGCTGCAGTGCCTGATCAGAAAAGCAGCGGGTCCTCCCGTCCCGAGTCATGTCCTGGAACTTCTCTCTGGCGCTGAAGAAGTTGATGCGGTCTGTGCTGAGAGCCGAGGACCCCTCTGCGACAGGGTCCTGAAGCGGGGCACTGGGCTGGCTGATGATGAGCACCTCACTACTGGAGGGTTGTTGGGGTCCTGAACTGCCCAAAAACACCCCAGGTAACCGCTGGTCACTGTGTCGTTTCTCATAAGGCACTGGTGCGAACTGCTCTTGGGATCCTGCTGTTTGTCTGCTTGTTACAGGGGTCTTCAACAACAACTCGGGCACCTGCGACTGGCGGGACTTTTGCCCAGGCAAGTTAGAGGATGGCTCCTTGGCTTTCAGAGTCTCGTCTGCGCCGGAGGGGGTTGGAAAAGGTGCAGCGGAGAGGGGGAGGTGGTGAAGGGAGGGGGGCAGGTGAGGACGCCCGACCGGCACTGTCTCCACCACGGTTACAGTGGAAACATCAGGCACCACGGTGGCCGCCCGCGGCCGGGGGAGAGACTGGGTCGAGGGATCCTCCTCTGAGTCACACAGGCCGTTGGACAGAGGGGGGGAGGACGGGGGACACGCAGACCCAGCCAGGGGAGCACTGTCTGGGGAATCCAAGGACTGGACCCCACTGGGAACTGACTGGTCAACAGTATGGGAGGACTGGTCCCCACTGGGAGCTGACTGGTCAACAGTATGGGAGGACTGGTCCCCACTGGGAGCTGACTGGTCAACAGTATGGGAGGACTGGTCCCCACTGGGAGCTGACTGGTCAACAGTATGGGAGGACTGGACCCCACTGGGAGCTGACTGGTCAACAGTATGGGAGGACTGGACCCCACTGGGAGCTGACTGGTCAACAGTATGGGAGGACTGGTCCCCACTGGGAGCTGACTGGTCAACAGTATGGGAGGACTGGTCCCCACTGGGAGCTGACTGGTCAACAGTATGGGAGGACTGGTCCCCACTGCCTACTGACTGGACCCCAGTTGTGGAGGTCAACTGAGCTTCAGTCCTAGTAACAGTGGTATTGGGCTGGCTACTGGACCGTACCACCTTCCCTGCACTAGAGGGCGTCCCACACTCAGAGACGGACTGCACCACCTGCCCCGTGTTGGAGGGGGTTCCCAGCGAGGGGTGCAGCAGCTCCTGCAGGGAGGGTGCGGTGGGACTGTTGCCCTGGTTACGGGGGTCTGAGCGGCCCAGGGTGTTGGGGTGGTAGGCGGTCTTACACAGCGGCTCATGGTGCTCTGATAGGTCGCTATCTGAGTGGGAACGCCACAACTTGTTGTGTCTCTGCTTACTGCGGGGGGGGGGGGGGGGGGGGGGGGGGGGGTAGAAATGTGACAGAACAAGAGGAAGAAAGAGAGAGATGTTAATCAATGCTGGTAGCTTCCTCTACTCTATCCAGCTACATAGCAGGCTACATAACAGGCTACATAAGACTACATAGCAGACTACGGAAGTTTACATACACTTAGGTTGGAGTCATTAAAACTCGTTTTTCAACCACTCCACAAATGTCTTGTTAACAAACTATAGTTTTGGCAAGTCGGTTAGGACATCTACTTTGTGCATGACACAAGTAATTTTTCCAACAATTGTTTACAGACAGATTATTTCACTTATAATTCACTGTATCACAATTCCAGTGGGTCAGAAGTTTACGTACACTACGTTGACTGTGCCTTTAAACAGCTTGGAAAATTCCAGAAAATGATGTCATGGCTTTAGAAGCTTCTGATAGGCTAATTGACATTATTTGAGACAATTGGAGGTGTACCTGTGGATGTATTTCAAGGCCTACCTTCAAACTCAGTGCCTCTTTGCTTGACATCATGGGAAAATCAAAAGAAATCAGCCAAGACCTCAATTTCTTTTTTTTACCTCCACAAGTCTGGTTCATCCTTGGGAGCAATTTCCAAACGCCTGAAGGTACCACGTTCATCTGTACAAACAATAGTACGCAAGTATAAACATCATGGGACCACGCAGCCGTCATACCGCTCAGGAAGGAGACTCGTTCTGTCTCCTAGAGATTAACGTACTTTGGTGCAAAAAGTGCTAGTCAATCCCAGAACAACAGCAAAGGACCTTGTGAAGATGCTGGAGGAAACAGGTACAAAAGTATCTATATCCACAGTAAAACGAGTCCTATATCGACATAACCTGAAAGACCGCTCAGCAAGGAAGAAGCACTGCTTCAAAACCGCCATAAAAAAGCCAGACTACGGTTTGCAACTGCACATTGGGACAAAGATCGTACTTTTTGGAGAAATGTCCTCTGGTCTGATGAAACAAAAATAGAACTGTTCGGCCATAATGACCATCGTTATGTTTGGAGGAAAAAGGGGGATGCTTGCAAGCCGAAGAACACCATCCCAACTGTGAAGCACGGGGGTGGCAGCATCATGCTGTGGGGGTGCTTTGCTGCAGGAGGGATTGGTGCACTTCACAAAATAGATGGCATCATGAGGAAGGAAGATTATGTGGATATATTGAAGCAACATCTCAAGACATCAGTCAGGAAATTAAAGCTTGGTCGCAAATGGGTCTTCCAATTGGACAATGACCCCAAGCATACTTCCAAAGTTGTGGCAAAATGGCTTAAGGACAACAAAGTCAAGGTATTGGAGTGGCCATCACAAAGCCCTGACCTCAATCCTATAGAACATTTGTGGGCAGAACTGAAAAAGCGTGTGCGAGCAAGGAGGCCTACAAACCTGACTCAGTTACACCAGCTCTGTCAGGAGGAATGGGCCAAAATTCACCCAACTTATTGTGGGAAGCTTGTGGAAGGCTACCCGAAACGTTTGACCCAAGTTAAACAATTTAAAGGCAATGCTACCATTTACTAATTGAGTGTATGTAAACTTCTGACCCACTGGGAATGTGACGAAAGAAATAAAAGCTGAAATAAATCATTCTCTCTACTATTATTCTGACATTTCACATTCTTAAAAGAAAGTGGTGATCCTAACTGACCTAAGACCGGGAATTTTTACTAGGATTAAATGTCAGGAATTGTGAAAAAATGAGTTTAAATGTATTTGGCTAAGGTGTATGTAAACTTCAGACTTGAACTGTACATGTAGGTAGGGGTAAAGTGACTATGGATAGCTAAACAGCGAGTAGCAGCGGGTAGCTGCAAATAGTACGGGTAGCCATTTTATTAACTTTTCAGTAGTCTTATGGCTTGGGGGTAGAACCTGTTAAGGAGCCCTTTGGACCTAGACATGGCGCTCCGGCCTTCCTCTGACACCGCCTGGTATAGAGGTCCTGGATGGCAGGAAGCTTGGCCCCAGTGATGTACTGGGCCGTACGCAGTACCCTCTGTAGCACCTTGCGGTCGGGTGCCAAGCAGTTGCCATACCAAGCGGGGATGCAGCCAGTCAGGATGCTCTCGATGGTGCAGCTGCTGCTAAAATGACTAAAATGTAAATGTAAATGTAGAACCTTTTGAGGATCTGAGGACCCATGCCAAACCTTTTCAGTCTCCTGAGGGAGAAAAGGTGTTGTCGTGCCCTCTTCGACTGTCTTGGTGTGTTTGGACCAGTTTGTTGGTGATTTGGACACCAAGGAACTTGAAGCTCTCGACCTGCTCCACTACAGCCCTGTCGATGTGAATGGTGGCCTGTAGTCCACGATCATCTCCTTTCTCTTGCTGACGTTGAGGGAGAGGTTGTTGTCCTGGCACCACACTGCCAGGTCTCTGACCACCTCCCTATAGGCTGTCTCATCGTTGTCGGTGATCAGGCCTACCACCGTTGTGTCATCGGCAAACTTAATGATGGTGTTGGAGTCGTGCTTGGCCACGCAGTCGTGGGTGAACAGGGAGTACAGGAGGGGACTAAGCACGCACCCCTGAGGGGCCCCCGTGTTGAGGATCAGTGTGGCAGGTGTTGTTGCCTACCCTTACCACCTGGGGGCGGCCCATCAGGAAGTCCAGGATCCAGTTGCAGAGGGAGGTGTTTAGTCCCAGGATCCTTAGCTTAGTGATGAGCTTTCAGGGCACTATGGTGTTGAACGCTGAGCTGTAGTCAATGAACAGCATTCTCACATAGGTGTTTCTTTTGTCCAGGTGGGAAAGGGCAGTGTGGAGTGCAATAGAGATTGCGTGATCTGTGGATCTGTTGGGGCGGTATGTGAATTGGAGTGGGTCTAGGGTTTCCGGGAATATGGTGTTGATGTGAGCCATGACCAGCCTTTCAAAGCACTTCATGGCTACAGACGTGAGGTGATACGGGTCGGTAGTCATTTAGGCAGGTTACCTTCGTGTTCTTGGGCACGGGGACTATGGTGGTCTGCTTGAAACATGTTGGTATTACAGACTCAGTCAGGGACATGTTGAAATTGTCAGTGAAGACACTTGCCAGTTGGTCAGCGCATGCTCGGAGTACACGTCCTGGTAATCCGTCTGGCCCTGCGGCCTTGTGAATGTTGACCTGTTTGTGTATCTGTGTGTGTGTGTGTATGTGTGTACCTGGCCAGCAGTATGCCCTGGTACTCCTCTAGCTGTCTCATGAAGGATGGGTTAGGTTTGGTGACGGCACGTCGCTCCTTAACATGGTCAAATGCCCTCTCCAGGTCCCAGCCGTACTCCTTCATAGCGTAGGCTATCACCGTGGATGCAGAGCGACTCACACCCATCTTACAGTGCACCAGACACTTAGCTCCCGCTCTCCTACAGACAGACATTATTTAACTGGTTAAGGGACTGACATAGGAGAACAGAGATCAGAGAGGTTAGACAAACTAAGACGGGAGAGACAGAGATAGAAAGATGACGGAGAGAAATACAGTGACCATCTCTAGAAAGATGAGAGGAAGTGAATGTACATATATGTAGAGAGAGAGAGTTGAGAGAAAGAGAGTTGAGAGAAAGAGAGAGTTGGAGAGAAAGAGAGTTGAGAAATAAAAAGAAAGCGAGAGACATCACTATGGACAGAGACACAGAGAGAGAGAGAGACAGACACAGAGAGAGACACAGAGAGAGAGAGAGACAGACACAGAGAGAGACACAGAGACAGAGACACAGAGACAGAGACACAGAGACAGAGACACATAGAGACAGAGACACAGAGAGACAGAGACACAGAGAGACAGAGACACAGAGAGATACACATAGAGAGAGACACAGAGAGAGAGAGACAGAGACACAGAGAGAGACACAGAGAGAGAGAGAGACAGAGACACAGAGACACAGAGAGAGATACACAGAGAGAGATACACAGAGAGAGATACACAGAGAGAGAGAGAGAGAGAGAGAGACACAGAGAGAGACACAGAGAGAGACACAGAGAGAGATACACAGAGAGAGACACAGAGAGAGAGAGAGAGGGAGACAGAGACACAGAGAGTGAGACACAGAGAGATACACAGAGAGAGACACAGAGAGAGAGACAGAATCAGTCGGCCAGTAGTGACTCACTTGGCTCTGGAGATGAACTTGTAGGTGTCGTTCCAGTATGCTAGCAGGTCTGTCGCCTCCTCATCATACACACGGATGTTATGGTACTCAAACACACCTGGGAAGAAGTTGTCAATCTCCTTCGTCACGTTCAGAATATACTGCACACTGGGGAGGGGGAGGATGGGGGAGGGGGAGAAAGGTGGACAGGTTGTCATTATAGATGTGTAGGCAAATACATTTTGAATTTCATGAGTAGTGCATCATGGGAGTAGTAGTTTTCCAGAGCAGGCCTTACCCACTGTTCTGCAGCTCCTCCAGATTGGATGCATTCCACTCAGAGCCCTGGAGGGAAACAAAAAATATATGAGATCAGTTCCACTCCTGTCCAGCCTTTCTTACAATGTCCCTTTACACTTTCAGGTCAGGGGAAGTAGGTTTTAATAGGTGACAATAGCCAGTTACACAGTAAGGATTTGTATTTATATTTATTATGGATCCCCAATAGTTCCTGCCATGGCAGCAGCTACTCTTCTTGGGGTCCAGCAAAATTAAGGCAGTTATACAATTTTAAAAACATTACAATACATTCATAACATACAGTGGGGAAAAAAAGTATTTAGTCAGCCACCAATTGTGCAAGTTCTCCCACTTAAAAAGATGAGAGAGGCCTGTCATTTTCATCATAGGTACACGTCAACTATGACAGACAAATTGAGAAAACAAATTCCAGAAAATCACATTGTAGGATTTTTAATGAATTTATTTGCAAATTATGGTGGATAATAAGTATTTGGTCACCTACAAACAAGCAAGATTTCTGGCTCTCACAGACCTGTAACTTCTTCTTTAAGAGGCTCTTCTGTCCTCCACTTGTTACCTGTATTAATGGCACCTGTTTGAACTTGTTATCAGTATAAAAGACACCTGTCCACAACCTCAAACAGTCACACTCCAAACTCCACTATGGCCAAGACCAAAGAGCTGTCAAAGGACACCAGAAACAAAATTGTAGACCTGCACCAGGCTGGGAAGACTGAATCTGCAATAGGTAAGCAGCTTGGTTTGAAGAAATCAACTGTGGGAGCAAATATTAGGAAATGGAAGACATACAAGACCACTGATAATCTCCATCGATCTGGGGCTCCACGCAAGATCTCACCCCGTGGGGTCAAAATGATCACAAGAACGGTGAGCAAAAATCCCAGAACCACACGGGGGGACCTAGTGAATGACCTGCAGAGAGCTGGGACCAAAGTAACAAAGCCTACCATCAGTAACACACTACGCCGCCAGGGACTCAAATCATGCAGTGCCAGACGTGTCCCCCTGCTTAAGCCAGTACATGTCCAGGCCCGTCTGAAGTTTGCTAGAGTGCATTTGGATGATCCAGAAGAGGATTGGGAGAATGTCATATGAAACCAAAATAGAACTTTTTGGTAAAAAACTCAACTTGTCGTGTTTGGAGGACAAAGAATGCTGAGTTGCATCCAAAGAACACCATACCTACTGTGAAGCATGGGGGGTGGAAACATCATGCTTTGGGGCTGTTTTTCTGCAAAGGGACCAGGACGACTGATTTGTGTAAAGGAAAGAATGAATGGGGCCATGTATCGTGAGATTTTGAGTGAAAACCTCCTTCCATCAGCAAGGGCATTGAAGATGAAACGTGGCTGGGTCTTTCAGCATGACAATGATCCCAAACACACCGCCCGGGCAACGAAGGAGTGGCTTCGTAAGAAGCATTTCAAGGTCCTGGAGTGGCCTAGCCAGTCTCCAGATCTCAACCCCATAGAAAATCTTTGGAGGGAGTTGAAAGTACGTGTTGCCCAGCGACAGCCCCAAAACATCACTGCTCTAGAGGAGATCTGCATGGAGGAATGGGCCAAAATACCAGCAACAGTGTATGAAAACCTTGTGAAGACATACAGAAAACATTTGACCTGTGTCATTGCCAACAAAGGGTATATAACAAAGTATTGAGAAACTTTTGTTATTGACCAAATACTTATTTTCCACCATAATTTGCAAATAAATTCATAAAAAATCCTACAATGTGATTTTCTGGAATTTTTTTTCTCATTTTGTCTGTCATAGTTGACGTGTACCTATGATGAAATGTACAGGCCTCTCTCATCTTTTTAAGTGGGAGAACTTGCACAATTGGTGGCTGACTAAATACTTTTTTGCCCCAATGTAATTCACAACACACCAAGTGTGTGCCCTCAGGCCCCTACTCTACTACCACATATCTATAACACAAAATCCATGTGTAGGTGTGTGTATAGTGCGTATGTTATCATGTGTGTGTATGCATGTGTCTGTGCCTATGTGTGTGTTGCTTCACAGTCCCCGCTGTTCCATAAAGTGTATTTATATCTTACAAGAGAAAAAGACAGAAGAGAAAGCCAGGCAGACCTACCAGGTAAACGTGGTCGAATATCTCAGTGGGACTGTCCATCTGGCCCAGGATCAGGATCATCTCGTTGTCTATGTACTCCTTAAACTCACGGAGGTTACACACCATGTGTACCTCCAGCTCTGTGCGGATCTAGGAGAGAACACACAGGTTTCATACACACACTAACACTGCGGATCTGGGAGAGAACACACAGGTTTCATCCACACACTAACACTGCGGATCTAGGAGAGAACACACAGGTTTCATCCACACACTAACACTGCGGATCTAGGAGAGAACACACGGGTTTCATACACACACTAACACGACAGAATATGAAAATGAAGACGGCATGTTATGCATGAACACACCTCTTTGCAGGTGACATTCTCCAAGTCTTTCTGTACCATGATCTCTCTCAGACGAGTCTTGATCAGCCGCTCCGTTTTCTCTCTCTCTGTCGGCCTGGAAACACATAGCGGGCAGTGGACGTTTTTTTTTTCTCTCAAGGTTTTACCGCTAACCTACAAAGCATTACATGGACTTGCTCCAACCTATCTCTCCGATTTGGTCCTGCCCGTACATAATAATAATAATAATAATATGCCATTTAGCAGTATGGGTGGTCCCGGGGATCGAACCCACTACCCTGGCGTAACAAGCGCCGTGCTCTACCAATTGAGCTACAGAGGACCACAGGTACATACCTACACGTACGCTACGGTCACAAGACGCAGGCCTCCTTATTGACCCTAGAATTTCTAAGCAAACAGCTGGAGGCAGGGCTTTCTCCTACAGAGCTCCATTTTTATGGAATGCTCTGCCTATCCATGTGAGAGACGCAGACGCTGTCTTTCAGTCTTTACTGAAGACTCATCTCTTCAGTGGGTCCTATGATTGAGTGTAGTCAGGCCCAGGGGTGCGAAGGTGATCGGCAAGGCACTGGAGTGATGAACCAGCCTTGCTGTCTCTGCCTGGCCGGCTCCTCTCTCTCCACTGGGATTCTCTGCCTCTGGCCCTATTACGGGGTCTGAGTCACTGGCTTACTAGTGCTCTTCCATGCCGTCCCTAGGAGGGGTGCGTCACGTCGTGCCAGGCTTTTTTCCTCTATACTCGACTCGAGTGGGTTGAGTCACTGACGTGATCTTCCGGTCCGGTTTTGCGCCCCCTCTGGCTCGTGCGGTGGAGGAGATCTTCGTGGGCTCAGTCTCGTCTCAGGGTAGTGCTTTGGCAAAGTGGGTGGGGTTATATCCTGCCTGGTTGGCCCTGTCCAGGGCTATCGTCAGAGAGGGCCACAGTGTCATCCCCCCCCTGTCTCAGTCTCCAGTATCTATGCTGCAATAGTCTATGTGCCGGAGGGCTAGGGTCAGTCTGTCCTATCTGGTGAAATTCTCCTGTCTTATCTGGTGTCCTGTGTGAACTTAAGTATGCTCCTTCTAATTCTCCCATTTCTCTCCCGGAGGACCTGAGCCCTAGCACCCTGCCTCAGGACTACCTGGCCTGATGACTCCTGGCTCTCCCCGTCCCCAGTCCACCTGGTCGTGGTGCTGATCCAGTTGCTGCTGTTTTTCCTGTGGCTCTGGAACCATGACCTGTTCACAAGACATGCTACCCTGTCCCGGATCTGCTGTTTTCCACTCCATCTACCTCTACCTCTTAAAAAACAGATACAATTACACTTTATGGACTGGGAAGACACACACACACACACACACACAGCATTCGCAAAACACCTTCTAAACACCAGCCACTCTACACACAACACATTTAATATTGTTATTTTGCTGTATTGGTTGATTTTGTATGTAAATATGTTATGGTAGAATAGTGTGTATAAGGTGTTGTGTTATGTATTGGTTTATTGTATGTAAATTGTGGTTGGACCCCCAGGAAGAGTAGCTGCTGCCTTGGCAGCCGCTAATGGGGACCGTAATAAATACAAATACCTCTCCCCCTCTCCTCCTCCCCACCTCCCCCTCTCCACCTCTCTCTCTCCATCCGTCCCCTCATCCTCTCCTCCCCCCTCCCCCCCCCCCTTCTCGCCCCTCGTCCCACCTCTCCTCTCCTCCTCCCCTCTTCCTCCCCCTCTCCTCCTCCACCGCCCCCTCTCCTCCTCCTCTCCTCTCCTCCCCCCCTCCTCCCCCACCTCCCTCCCCACTCCCCTCTCCTCCTCCACCTCCCCCTCTCCTCTCCCTCCACCGCCCCCTCTCCCTCTCCCTCCACCTCCCCCTCTCCTCTCCCTCCACCTCCCCCTCTCCTCTCCCCTCTCCCACCGCTCCCTCCCCTCTATTCAATTAAATTTTAAATTTAAGGGCTTTATTGGCATGGGAAACGTACAGTTGAAGTCGGAAGTTTACATACACTTAGGTTGGAGTCATTAAAACTCGTTTTTCAACCACTCCACAAATGTCTTGTTAACAAACTATAGTTTTGGCAAGTCGGTTAGGACATCTACTTTGTGCGTGACAAGTAATTTTTCCAACAATTGTTTACAGACAGATTATTTCACTTATAATTCACTGTATCACAATTCCAGTGGGTCAGAAGTTTACATACACTAAGTTGACTGTGACTTTAAACAGCTTGGAAAATTCCAGAAAATGATGTCATGGCTTTAGAAGCTTCTGATAGGCTAATTGACATAATTTGAGTCAATTGGAGGTGTACCTGTGGATGTATTTCAAGGCCTACCTTCAAACTCAGTGCCTCTTTGCTTGACATCATGGGAAAATCAAAAGAAATCAGCCAAGACCTCAGAACTTTTTTTTTTTGACCTCCACAAGTCTGGTCCATCCTTGGGAGCAATTTCCAAACGCCTGAAGGTACCACGTTCATCTGTACAAACAATAGTATGCAAGTATAAATACCATGGGACCACGCACCCGTCATACCGCTCAGGAAGGAGACGCGTTCTGTCTCCTAGAGATGAACGTACTTTGGTGCGAAAAGTGCATATCAATCCCAGAACAAACGCAAAGGACCTTGTGAAGATGCTAGAGGAAACAGGTACAAAAGTATCTATATCCACAGTAAAACGAGTCCTATATCGACATAACCTGAAAGGCCACTCAACAAGGAAGAAGCCACTGCTCCAAAACCGCCATAAAAAAGCCAGACTATGGTTTGCAACTGCACATGGGGACAAAGATCGTACTTTTTGGAGAAATGTCCTCTGGTCTGATGAAACAAAAATAGAACTGTTTGGCCATAATGACCATCGTTATGTTTGGAGGAAAAAAGAGGACGCTTGCAAGCTGAAGAACACCATCCCAACCGTGAAGCATGGGGGTGGCAGCATCATGCTGTGGGGGTGCTTTGCTGCAGGAGGGACTGGTGCACTTCACAAAATAGATGGCATCATGAGGAAGGAAAACTATGTGGATATATTGAAGCAACATCTCAAGACATCAGTCAGGAAGTTAAAGCTTGGTCGCAAATGGGTCTTCCAAATGGACAATGACCCCAAGCATACTTCCAAAGTTGTGGCAAAATGGCTTAAGGACAACAAAGTCAAGGTATTGGAGTGGCCATCACAAAGCCCTGACCTCAATCCTATAGAATATTTGTGGGCAGAACTGAAAAAGCATGTGCGAGCAAGGAGGCCTACAAACCTTACTCCGTTACACCAGCTCTGTCAGGAGGAATGGGCCAAAATTCACCCAACTTATTGTGGGAAGCTTGTGTTTGACCCAAGTTAAACAATTTAAAGGCAATGCTACCAAATACTAATTGAGTGTATGTAAAGTTCTGACCCACTGGGAATGTGATGAAAGAAATAAAAGCTGAAATATATAATTTTCTCTACTATTATTCTGACATTTCACATTCTTAAAATAAAGTGGTGATCCTAACTGACCTAAAACAGGGAATTTTTACTAGGATTAAATGTCAGGAATTGTGAAAAACTGAGTTAAAATCTATTTGGCTAAAGTGTATGTAAACTTCCTACTTCAACTGTATGTTACATTGCCAAAGCAAGTGAAGTAGATAGTAAACAAAAGTGAAATAAACAATAAATATTAACAGTAAACATTACACTCAGAAGTTCCAAAAGAATAAAGACATTTCAAATGTCATATTATGTATATATACAGTGTTGTAACAATGTGCAAAGAGTTAAAGTACAAATGGGAAAATAAATAAACATAAATATGGGTTGTATCTACAATGGTGTTTGTTCTTCACTGGTTGCCCTTTTCTTGTGGCAACAGGTCACAAATCTTGCAGCTGTGATGGCACACTGTGGTTTTTCACCCAGTAGATAAGGGAGTTTATCAACATTGGGTTTGTTTTCGAATTCTCTTGTGGATCGCTGTAATCTGAGGGAAATATGTGTCTCTAATATGGTCATACATTTGGCAGGAGGTTAGGAAGTGCAGCTCAGTTTCCACCTCATTTTGTGGGCAGTGTGCACATAGCCGAGCATGGAGAGGGAGCGAGGCTATGAAAAGCCAACTGACATTTAATCCTGAGGTGCTGATCCTGTTGCACCCTCTACAACTACTGTGATTATAATTTCACCCTGCTGGTAATTTATGAACATCTTGAAGAACGATCTGGCCTTAATGACCACGTACTCCTATAAATCGCCACCCCAAGCTTCAACGGAAATATGACGCAACCACGTAAAAAACGACAAGAGAGAAAAACTCAAGTTTTCAGAATGAAATGTCGCCCATTCACATCTCATGTTTCCTGACTACAATAGTTTATCTTAATACATTAATAAATACATACTGTGTTAATTTTGGCATGTTTACCTGCCTACAATACCCACTGTAGTGTTCATGATTGCAATTCCATGGTAAGTCAATAGGGCTAACTGGCTAGCTACTACAGTTAGCTAGCTATTGTAGCTATTCACAAAGAATTTACATCTACCTTGCATAACATTATTTATAGGTCATTTTTGCCTGTTTAACTAGCTGGCTAGCTAGATTATTATGAGTCACATATGGATAGCTACAGTCAGGGGAAAAAGTATTTGATCCCCTGCTGATTTTGTACGTTTTGCCCACTGACAAAGAAAATATCAGTCTATAATTTTAATGGTAGGTTTGTGTGCATCTGTTTTTAATGCGTTTATCAAGTGATTCAGATTACCAATTTATTAACAAGACATGTTGGAAAATAAACTTGAAACAGTCCCACACGTTATGTAGCGTGTTTGTGACACTCACACATCAGAGAAGAGCACGGGAGAGTCGGCACGATGTGATTGGACGTCCTGCATGGCGTTCCACTCGTTGATGCGTGATTGGGTCAGAGGAGACCCGGCTCTGGTAGTAGCTGACCCAGGTCAGGAAAAGGCTGCCGGGGTAGTAGTTATGGCAACGAGCCACCTCACACGCCTTGTGGAGCGACTGCAGAGCGGACCTGGGAGAGGGGAGAGGAGAGAGAGGGGTGGAGAGAGGAGAGGGGAGAGAAATGGAGAGAGAGGAGAGGGAGAGAGAGGAGAAAGAGAGAAATGGAGAGAGGAAAAGAGAGAAATGGAGAGAGAGGGGTGGAGGGAGAAGAGAGAGTGAAATGGAGAGAGGTGAGAAAGAGAGAAAATGGAAAGAGGTGAGAGAGAAATGAGAGAGGGGAGAAAGAGAGAAATGGGAGTAGAGAGGAGAAGAGAGGGGAGAAATGGATGGAGAGAGGGGTAGACGGAGAAGAGCGGGAGAAGAGAGGGAATGTGAGGAATGTGAAATTGATCATTGGTGGGACATTGAGATATTAAGATTAAGGGTAAATGGAATGCAAGGTAAACTAATAAGAGATGATGTATCAGAAAACACTAGGTAACACCAAAAAAATTGCATATTGAAAATGTGAAGACCTAAAAAAGTTGTACTCACCACATGGCCTGCACTGACACAGGCTTGAATACATGGACCCTGTTATCAGTGGACACACTGAAACCCCTGACAGAGAGAGAGAGGAAAAACAAGAGGGAGAGAGAGAGAGGGGGTAAAGGAAAGGAGAGAGAAAGGGAGAGGAGAGGGAGGGGAGAGATGGAGGGAGAGGGTCAAATAAGCAGTCAAACTCCTCTGAACCATACTGAACCATACATCTGTCAAGATGAGTCTGTTGGTCTGTCCTGTCATTATATGTGTATGTGAGAGACATTCTTACCCGTCTCCATCCAGGTGTATCAGTGTGTCGCTCCATAGGGGTAGAACCAGCCCCACCAAGCACGAGCTGGAACATACAACATTGTTCTATGATAGTCCATGCCCAATACGATCTGTGTCTGCATAAATGCACGCACACACACCTGTCTCTGTGTCCGCACGCACGCACGCACACACACACACACACATACACACCTGTCTGTCGGGCTGAAGTCCATGCCCAGTACCAGGCTCTCCTCTGTGTCCTGGCGGCCGTTAGTGGAGACCACTACCATGTAGCGAGTCCCCTGGTATAAGGTACTCTCCAACCGTACTGCCTAGAGGGAGGAGAGAGAGGGAGAGAGGGAGGGAGGTGTGAAGGAGAGGTGGAGGTGTGAAGACCAGATCTTGATTATTGAAGAGAACAATGTTTGTATTTTCAAATCAAATCAAATTTTAATTTGCCACATGCGCCGAATACAACAGGTGTAGACATTACCGTGAAATGCTTACTTACAGCCCTTAACCAACAATGCATTTATTTTTTAATAAAAAAGTAAAATAAAACAACAACAAAGTGTTGAGAAAAAAAGAGCAGAAGTAAAATAAAATAACAGTAGGGAGGCTATATACAGGGGGGTGCCGGTGCAGAGTCAATGTGCGGGGGCACCGGCTAGTTGAGGTAATATGTACATGTGGGTAGAGTTAAAGTGACTATGCATAAATAATTAACAGAGTAGCAGCAGCGTAAAAAGATGGGGTGGGGGTGGGGGGGGGGCAGTGCAAATAGACCGGGTAGCCATGATTAGCTGTTCAGGAGTCTTATGGCTTGGGGGTAGAAGCTGTTGAGAAGCCTTTTGGACCTAGACTTGGCCCTCCGGTACCGCTTTCCGTGCGGTAGCAGAGAGAACAGTCTATGACTAGGGTGGCTGGAGTCTTTGACAATTTTGAGGGCCTTCCTCTGACACCGCCTGGTTTAGAGGTCCTGGATGGCAGGAAGCTTTGCCCCAGTGATGTACTGGGCCGTACGCACTACCCTCTGTAGTGCCTTGCGGTCGGAGGCCGAGCAGTTGCCATACCAGGCGGTGATGCAACCAGTCAGGATGCTCTCGATGGTGCAGCTGTATAATTTTTTGAGGATCTGAGGACCCATGCCAAATCTTTTCAGTCTCCTGAGGGGGAATAGGCTTTGTCATGCCCTCTTCACAGCTGTCTTGGTGTGTTTGGACCATGATAGTTCATTGGTGATATGGACACCAAGGAACTTGAAGCTCTCAACCTGTTCCACTACAGCCCCGTCGATGAGAATGGGGGCGTGCTCAGTCCTCTTTTTTTTTCCTGTAGTCCACGATCATCTCCTTTGTCTTGGTCACGTTGAGGGAGAGGTTGTTATCCTGGCACCACACGGCCAGGTCTCTGACCTCCTCCCTATAGGCTGTCTCATCGTTGTCGGTGATCAGGCCTATCACTGTTGTGTCGTCGGCAAACTTAATGATGGTGTTGGAGTCGTGCGTGGCCATGCAGTCATGGGTGAACAGGGAGTACAGGAGGGGACAGAGCTCGCACCCCTGAGGGGCCCCCGTGTTGAGGATCAGCGTGGCAGATGTGTTGTTACCTACCCTTACCACCTGGGGGCGGCCCGTCAGGAAGTCCAGGATCCAGTTGCAGAGGGATGTGTTTAGTCCCAGGATCCTTAGCTTAGTGATGAGCTTTGAGGGCACTATGGTGTTGAACGCTGAGCTGTAGTCAATGAATAGCATTCTCACGTAGGTGTTCCTCTTGTCCAGGTGGGAAAGGGCAGTGTGGAGTGCAATAGAGATTGCATCATCTGTGGATCTGTTGTGGCAGTATGCAAATTGAAGTGGGTCTAGGGTTTCTGGGATAATGGTATTGATGTGAGCCATGACCAGCCTTTCAAAGCACTTCATGGCTACAGACGTGAGTGCTACGGGTCGGTAGTCATTTAGGCAGGTTATCTTAGTGTCCTTGGGCACGGGGACTATGGTGGTCTGCTTGAAACATGTTGGTATTACAGACTCAGACAGGGAGAGGTTGAAAATGTCAGTGAAGACACTTGCCAGTTGGTTAGCACATGCTCGGAGTACATGTCCTGGTAATCCGTTTTCAAGCCCTGCCACATCCGACGAGCGTCAGAGCCGGTGTAGTACGATTCAATCTTAGTCCTGTATTGACTCTTTGCCTGTTTGATGGTTCGTCGGAGGGCATAGCGGGATTTCTTATAAGCGTCCGGGTTAGAGTCCCGCTCCTTGAAAGCGGCAGCTCTACCCTTTAGCTCAGTGCGGATGTTGCCTGTAATCCATAGCTTCTGGTTGGGGTATGTACGTACGGTCACTGTGGGGACGACATCATCAATGCACTTATTGATGAAGCCAGTGACTGATGTGGTGTACTCCTCAATGCTATCTGAAGAATCCCGGAACATGTTCCAGTCTGTGCTAGCAAAACAGTCCTGTAGCATAGCATCTGCGTCGTCTGACCACTTTTTTATTAACCGAGTCACTGGTGCTTCCTGCTTTAGTTTTTGCTTATAAGCAGGAATCAGGAGGATAGAGTTATGGTCAGATTTGCAAAATGGAGGGCGAGGGAGAGCTTTGTATGCATCTCTGTGTGTGGAGTAAAGGTGGTCTAGAGTTTTTTTTCCTCTGGTTGCACATTTAACATGCTGGTAGAAATGAGGTAGAACGGATTTAAGTGTCCCTGCATTAAAGTCCCCGGCCACTAGGAGCGCTGCCTCTGGATGAGCGTTTTCCTGTTTACTTATGGCCTTATACAGCTCATTGAGTGCAATCTTAATGCCAGCATTGGTTTGTGGTGGTAAATAGACAGTTATGAAAAATATAGATGAAAACTCTCTTTGTAAATAGTTTGGTCTACAGCTTATCATAAGATACTCTACCTCAGGCGAGCAAAACCTTGAGACTTCCTTAGTATTTGATTTTGTGCACCAGCTGTTGTTTACAAATATACACAGACCGCCACCCCTTGTCTTACCGGAGTCAGCCGTTCTATCCTGCCCATGTAGCGTATAGCCCGCTAGCTGTATGTTGTCCATGTCGTCGTTCAGCCACGACTCGGTGAAACATAAGATATTACAGTTTTTAATGTCCCGTTGGTAGGATAATCGTAATCTTAGGTCATCTAATTTACTTTCCAATGATTGAAGATTTGCTAATAGGATTGATGGAAGAGGCAGTTTACTCGCTCGCCGTCGGATCCTTACAAGGCACCCCGACCTACGTCCACGATATCTCCATCTCTTTCTCTTGCGAATGACAGGGATTTGGGCCTTGTCGGGTGTCTGTAGGATATCCTTCGCGTCCGACTCGTTGAATAAAAAAATCTTCGTCCAATACGAGGTGAGTAATCGCTGTCCTGATATCCAGAAGCTCTTTTTGGTTATAAGAGACGATGGCAGAAACATTATGTACAGAATAAATTACAAATAACGCGAAAAAAACACACATAATAGTACAATTGGTTAGAGGGCTATTGTGTGTGTTTGTGTGTGCGTGTGTGTGTTTGTGTGTGCGTGTACTCACCAGTTTGATGTTGTCCTCTGGTCGGAGGAGAGTGAACATGGTCTGCAGGTGCTGCTGGAGATCACCTAGACACACACACAGTTAACGTTGCTGTGTGTCCTCATTATCAATAACCATTCCTTGTTAGCGTCCTTATGGCATTTAGAGTACAATTAGCATATCTGCTCAATAGTAAATGCTAAATCAGATAATCTTTTCTCTTTAGTCCCACTAATGCTTTATCACTGGCATTTCTACATCCATCTCCCCTTCGGCAGTTCTAACTCATTAAAAGCTGAATTATGGAGCTTCTCCTGGCCACCGTGCCTTAGCTTCTCCTGGCCACCGTGCCTTAGCTTCTCCTGGCCACCGTGCCTTAGCTTCTCCTGGCCACTGTGCTTCTGCTGGGTCTAGGGTGGGTAACTGTACAATAGGACCGGGACGATACCAGTATCGCGATATTTGTTAGTATCGTGGCAAGGAAACAAAAACACAAAGCGGATTTAACTTCTTTAGGAAAACAGCCCATCATTATGTTGTCCTCAAGAGTCACATTTATTTTTTAAGATATAGCAATATTTTACATTCAGCAAAGGAGCAATATTGCGAAACTGGTATTGTCCCGGGCCTACTGTCCTCTAGTTGTGACATCTGCTAATGTAAAAAGGGATTTATAAAAAAAACATTTCATTGACTGAACATGAAGCTACCGTGCTCCGTTTTCCCATAATGCCCCTTGATGTCTGTACTCCGTACTGTACCTGCATGTTTGCTGCGGAGCTGAGAGAAGCGGGAGGCGGAGCTAGGGGAGGAGCCATTTCCCCGGGGCAGGAAGAGGGCGGCGCCTTTCACTGTCAGGAAGCTCTCACTGATACTGGAGGGGGGAGAGAGAACGTGTGTTTAGTGTTGCATGGTAACCGGTACCACGCAGGGTTTATACCGGTACCACGCAGGGTTTATACCGGTACCACGCAGGGTTTATACCGGTACCACGCAGGGTTTATACCGGTACCACGCAGGGTTTATACCGGTACCACGCAGGGTTTATACCGGTACCACGCAGGGTTTATACTATTGCAAAATCCTATTGCAAAATAATGCTTTTTATTCATTGATGGAAATACCAGTCGATGGAAATACATTTGACCATCATGCTTATCGGTTTATAGGTGCATTTGCATAATTTTAGTGGAATTAAATTGGCCTGTGTGTATTTTCGTTAATCATCATGCATCTTATTTATCCAACACAACTATAAACACTCACACAGAGCCTACTCTGAGAGGGATTTCTCCTGCAGCTCCTCAAAACATGCTTTTCTAAACCCATTCATTGCACAACAACTCTAAAATGCGCAATCGGGTGTTAAAAACCGCTTTGGTGCACGATTAAAAATAGATTTTCTATTTTTATTTCTCAACTGGTAATTGAAGAGCGCCTCTCATTCACCATTTACAGTGCATTCGTAAAGTATTCAGACCCCTTGACTTTTTCCACTTTGTTAAGTTACAGCCTTTTTCTAAAATAGATTAAATAGTTTTACCCCCTCATCAATCTACACACAATACCCCATAATGACAAAGCAAAAACAGGTTTTTAGACATTTTTGTAAATGTATTCAAAATAAAAAAACGTAAATATTACATTTCCATAAGTATTCAGACCCTTTACTCAGTACTTTGTTGAAGCACCTTTGGCAGCGATTACAGCCTCAAGTCTTCTTGGGTATGACGCTACAAGTCTGGCACACCTGTATTTGGGGAGTTTCTCCCATTCTGCTCTGTAGATCCTCTCAAGCGCTGTCAGGTTGGACGGGGAGCATCACTGCACAGCGATTTTCAGGTCTCTCCAGAGATATTCGATCGGGTTCAAGTCCGGGCTCTGGCTGGGCCACTCAAGGACATTCAGAGACTTGTCCCAAAGCCACTTCTGCGTTGTCTTGGCTGTGTGCTGTTGGAAGGTGAACCTTCGCCCCAGTCTGAGCTCCTGAGCGCTCTGGAGCAGGTTTTCATCAAGGATCACTCTGTACTTTGCTCTGTTCAGCTTTCCCTCAATCCTGACTAGTCTCCCAGTCCCTGCCGCTGAAAAACATCCCCACAGCATGATGATGCCACCACCATGCTTCTCCGTAGGGATGGTGCCAGGTTTCCTCCAGACGTGACAATTGGCATTCAGGCCAAATAGTTCAATCTTGATTTCATCAGACCAGAGAATCTTGTTTCTCATGGTCTGAGAATCCTTTAGGTGTCTTTTGGCAAACTCCAAGTGGGCTGTCACGTGCCTTTTACTGAGGATTGGCTTCTGTCTGGCCACTCTACCATAAAGGCCTGATTGGTGGACTGCTGCAGAGATGGTTGTCGTCCTTCTGGAAGGTTCTCCCATCTCCAAAGAGGAACTCTGGAGCTCTGTCAGAGTGACCATCGGGTTCTCGGTCACCTCACTGACCAATGCTCTTCTCCCTGATTGCTCAGTTTGGCCGGGCGGCCAGCTCTAGGAAGAGTCTTGGTGGTTCCAAACGTCTTCCATTTAAGAATGATGGAGGACACTGTGTTAATTTTTTATTTATTTTTTAGGGGGAATGGATCAGCTTAATATTGCAGATAGAAGATACAATCTATCAATGTAATTGTCTGCATCACTTCCAAATCCCCATGTTTTTTATTTTTTATATATATACTCCCCTTTATTACTTTTCAACCCCACCATCCTTTCCCTACTTGGAGTAAATTAGTGAACAACAATGCCCAGGCCTCTATTTCCGGTCTATACTTACTATCTACACCTTATGGACAGAGTTAATTTTACAATAATTCTATTATATATATATATATATATATATATATATATATATATATATATATATATATATATATATATATATATATATATATATATATATATATATATATATATATAATACTTTTTTTGCTCCTGAACTTCTTCTACTCTCAACCTCTCCCATCATTTTCATGATGTCCATCCGGTTTGCTTCTATATGCCATATCTTTCTAACTGTGCTCCTTCCCAAAAGCTCCCAACATACAACCTATATACTTATTATGGACACAGTATGCTTACATTATTAGCTATCTTTGTTATTATTTGTTGTTATTTGTTATTAGTCCCATCCTTCAACTCTATTCAATACCTCCCATCTATCTCTTAACACCATCCATATAGGATTTCTATTTGCCATATATATTTCGACCGTACTGTGATGTTTTACAAAAATTCTGAACCTTTCTATTCTCATTGCTTCTACAGATTGTGAATTAAAAATAAACATTTTTGCTAAAAGTATTATATTATTGATTGATTGACTATGATTTTTCAGATCACCCAGTAATGCGATCTGCAAGGTTAGTTCCAGGTAAATATTGCAATCCTTTAGCCATTCCTGGACCTGTGTCCAAAAACAAGCTACAAATGGACAGAACCAAAACAAATGATCTAATGATTTTGTCTCTTCACAGCAAAACCTGCAGAGCTGGGAAGATTGTATCCCCCATATAAATAACATTCTATTGGTAGCAAGAATTTTATATAATAATTTAAATTGAAAGATTCTAATTTTTGAATCCGGTGTCATTTTGCGTGTCAGTTCATAAACACTATGCCATGGGATAGATAAAGTGGTTATCCCACTGGCTATAGGGTGAACGCACCAATTTGTGAGTCGCTCTGGCTAAGAGCGTCTGCTAAATGACGTTAATGTGCCCTTGAGCAAGGCACTTAACCCTAATTGCTCCTGTAAGTCGCTCTGGATAAGAGCGTCTGCTAAATGACTAAAATGTAAATGTAAATGTAATGGATCGGTACGTCAAAGATCTCTTCCCAACTATTTTGCAATCTATATGGGACGGCTGTCAATCCTTTGGTCCTTAAGTGAAACTGATATACTTTTTTATTTATCACAGTTTTCCTTAACCAATTATGTTCTTTAATGCAAGGCCGACAGACAAGTTCCTTACTTTCTCCCCCTTCAACTTTCCTCTTCCACTTTTGCGGTAAGGCTGCAACACTGTGTTCTTGGGGACCTTCAATGCTGCAGACATTTTTCGGTACCCTTCCCCAGATCTGTGCCTCAACATAATCCTGTCTCGGAGCTCTATGGACAATTCCTTCGACCTTATGGCTTGGTTTTTGCTCTGACATGCACTATCAACTGTGGGACATTACATAGACAGGTGTGTGCCTTTCCATGTCATGTCCAATCAATTGAATTTACCACAGGTGGACTCCAATCAAGTTGTAGAAACATCAAGGATGATCAATGGAAACAAGATGCATCTGAGCTCCATTTCAAGTCTCATAGCAAAAGGTCTGAATACTTATGTAAATAAGGTATGTTTTTTAATTTTTATAAATTTGCTAAAACATCCTTATTTGTTTGAAACCTGAATGCTTTATCTCATATTATGAGCTTGCTTCAAAGTAGCCTAGTAAGCCAAATCTGACCTAGTGTCTTGTATGTGCCAATCCAATAATGTCCACTTCACTTTCATGCGCATCGCACAGGCCAGTCTGAGTAGGCTTTGAAATTGCAAGTTCACTGTCACGCAGCCTCTGGCAGAGAGGAAATGGACACAGCTTCACAACAGGCATGCTTGCAGCTTCACAGCAAAGAAAACCGGCATGTCTTTAGCTAAAAACAATATCACCCATATTACCAGAACTACCTTTTTTTTTTTCTTCTTCCTGCGCGATTTCGCACGCATTTTACATTATATAATTTACAAACAATGTCGCAGGCCGTTTTTAAACTAATCCTGCGTATCTACTTATTGGTTTGATAACAAACAACGTTGTTCAGTCATGTTACCTAGATAGCTAACAACCTGCAAACGTGGCAGTAGGTCTAGGCAAATTTGATTGAAGAAAGGAAATGGCTACCGTGAAGAAACCCATAGTGGTGTGTCTGGTGGGAAGTGGTTACAAGTGATTAGGCATTTTCAACACACAAATGTTTCTTAAAAAGACTAGAAGAGAAGTCGTCCATTTCTCCTCAACCAAGAAAGACTATCATGCATGTTGTTGATGTTAGTTCTGTGTGTGCAGTTAAGGGCAAGACGTGCTGCTCTGTTTTGAGCCAGCTGCAGCTTTGCTAGGTCTTTCTTTGCTGCACCCTGACCATATTACCGGACAGTAATCAAGATGGGACAAGACCAGAGCCTGAACTAGTACAGTTGATCTTTGTGTCAAAAACATATTTTTATAACAGACATACCTCTCCCCATCTTCACAAAAACCTTTTTTTTTTTTTTAGGGGGTAGATCAACTTTAATATTGCAGATAGATTGTAACTTCCATCAATGTAATATTTTTTCTCACCCATCTACACACAGTACCCCATAATGGACACAGTAAAAACATGTTTTTAGATTATTATTATAATATTTTTGCTGTCTTTCTGGGTAAGTCTCTAAGAGCTTTCGACACCTGGATTGCTCCTGATTGTTTAACATTTACCCATTATTATTCTTTCCAAAATTCTTCAAGCTCTGTCAAATTGGTTGTTGATCATTGAGAGACGACCATTTTCAGGTCTTGACAAATATTTTCAAGTAGATTTAAGTCAAAACTGTGCGTAGATCCGTTTCTTTTTTATCCTGAAAAACTTCCCAGTCCTTAATGATTACAAGCACACCCATAACATGATGCAGCCACCACTATGCTTGAAAAGATGGAGAGTGGTACCCAGTAATGTGTTGTATTGGATTTGCCCAAACATAACACTTTGTATTCAGGACAAAAAGTTTTTGCAGTATTACTTTAGTGCCTTGTTGCAAACAGGATGCATGTTTTGGAATATTTTTTATTCTGTACAGGCTTCATTTTCACTCTGTCAAATATGTTAGTATTGTGGAGTAACTATAATGTTCTTGATCCATCCTCAGTTCTCCTATCACAGCCATTAAACTGTTACTGTTTTAAAGTCACCACTGGCCTCATGGTGAAATCTCTGAGAAGTTTCCTTCCTCCCCGGCAACGGAGTTAGGAAGGACTCCTGTATCTTTGTAGTGACTGGGTGTATTGATACACCATCTAAAGTGTAATTAATAACTTCACCATGCTCAAAGGGATATTCAATGTCTGCTTTTTTATTTTTACCCATCTACCAATAGGTGATCTTTGCGAGGCATTGGAAAACCTCCCTGGTCTTTGTGGTGGAAATGCACTGTTCGACTGAGGGACCTTACAGATAATTGTATGTGTGGGGTACAGAGAGGAGGTAGTCATTCAAAAATCATGTTAAACATTATTATTGCGCACAGAGGGAGTCCATGCAACTTATTATGTGACTTGTTAAGCACATTTTTACTCCTGAACTTATTTAGGCTTGCCATAACAAAGGGGTTGAATACTTATTGACTCAAGACATTTCAGCTTTCTATTTTTTATGAATTTGTAAAAACATAATTCCGCTTTGACATTTTGGGGTATTTTGTGTAGGCCAGTGACAACAAATCTCAATTTAATCCATTTTAAATTTAGGCTGTAACAAAACAAAATGTGAAAAAAGTAAAGGGGTGTGAATACTTTCTGAAGGCACTGTATTTAAAGACCAGTTTATTGTTAATTACCCATTCTGACACAGACTAACTCCTTGCTAAGAGTCTCAGCGAGCTCACTGGCTGTAGGTGCTGATGTGTGTACAATCATCAGCATACATAGTCATTTTAGCTTCTTGTAAGTGGCAAATCATTTGTAAAAATAGAGAAGAGTATCGGCCCAAGACAACTGCCCTGAGGGATACCGCACTGTACATAGATGTTAGAGAAGCTTCCATTGAAGAACACTATCTGGGTTCTATTGGATAAATAACTATCCAACCATGTGATGGCAGGTGATGTAAAGCCATAACAAGTGAGTTTTTTCTATAACAAATTATGCTCAATAACACCAAAGGCTGCAGTGAAATCTAACAGTACAGCTCCAACTATCATCTTATTATCCATTTATTTTAACCAATCGTCAGTCATCTGAGTTAGTGCAGTACAAGTTGAGAGCCCTTCCCTATATGCATGCTGAAAGTCAGTAGTTAGCTTGCTCTTTGAAAAATAGCATTGTATTTGTTCAAACACAATTTTCTCCATCAGTTTACTAAGAACAGGCAGCAAACTGATTGGTCGGCTGTTAGAGACAGCAAAGGGTGCTTTACTATTTTTAGGTAGTGGAATTACTTTAGCTAACTTCCACGCCTGTGGATACACACAGTCCTTTGGGGGTTGGTTAAAGACATGGCAAATAGGGGTGGCAATACAGTCTGCTACCATTCTCAATAGTTTTCCATCTAGGTTGTCTATACCTGGTGGCTTATCATTATTGATGGATAACAATTCTTCCACCTCTTCCATACAAACTTGACCAAACTCAAAACAGCAATCCTTCTCTTTCATTATCAGATCTTCAATACACAAATATGATGGTTCACTGTTCAAAGTCATTTCACTTCTTAGGTTTGTCCACTTCACTATTGAAATAGTAATTGAAATGATTGGCACCTCTTTTGCATCATTTCTTCGAACCATAAAATGTTTCAGTTCCTCATCAATCCAGAGGGCTCTAACAGCTCACAGTGAGTTTCTTAACAGGTGCAAGCTTGTCAACAATTGGCACGAGTGATTTTACAATACCAGTGCTGCATCTGGATTCACTTCCTTATGCACATCAGACGAACATAATATTTTTACATCTTCAACAAAAGACTCCTGAGACTAGTGGTCAAGGAGGTGCATGCCAAGAGAACGGAACGTGACAACCTCAACCCCCCATATCAGTATAAAAGACACCTGTCCACAACCTCAAACAGTCACACTCCAAACTCCACTATGGCCAAGACCAAAGAGCTGTCAAAGGACACCAGAAACAAAATTGTAGACCTGCACCAGGCTGGGAAGACTGAATCTGCAATAGGTAAGCAGCTTGGTTTGAAGAAATCAACTGTGGGAGCAATTATTAGGAAATGGAAGACATACAAGACCACTGATAATCTCCCTCGATCTGGGGCTCCACGCAAGATCTCACCCCGTGGGGTCAAAATGATCACAAGAACGGTGAGCAAAAATCCCAGAACCACACGGGGGGACCTAGTGAATGACCTGCAGAGAGCTGGGACCAAAGTAACAAAGCCTACCATCAGTAACACACTACGCCGACAGGGACTCAAATCCTGCAGTGCGAGACGTGTCCCCCTGCTTAAGCCAGTACATGTCCAGGCCCGTCTGAAGTTTGCTAGAGTGCATTTGGATGATCCAGAAGAGGATTGGAAGAATGTCATATGGTCAGATGAAACCAAAATGGAACTTTTTGGTAAAAACTCAACTCGTCGTGTTTGGAGGACAAAGAATGCTGAGTTGCGTCCAAAGAACACAATACCTACTGTGAAGCATGGGGGTGGAAACATCATGCTTTGGGGCTGTTTTTCTGCAAAGGACCAGGACGACTGATCCGTGTAAAGGAAAGAATGAATGGGGCCATGTATCGTGAGATTTTGAGTGAAAACCTCCTTCCATCAGCAAGGGCATTGAAGATGAAACATGGCTGGGTCTTTCAGCATGACAATGATCCCAAACACACCGCCCGGGCAACGAAGGAGTGGCTTCGTAAGAAGCATTTCAAGGTCCTGGAGTGGCCTAGCCAGTCTCCAGATCTCAACCCCATAGAAAATCTTTGGAGGGTGTTGAAAGTCCGTGTTGCCCAGCGACAGCCCCAAAACATCACTGCTCTAGAGGAGCTCTGCATGGAGGAATGGGCCAAAATACCAGCAACAGTGTGTGAAAACCTTGTGAAGACTTACAGAAAACGTTTGACCTGTGTCATTGCCAACAAAGGGTATATAACAAAGTATTGAGAAACTTTTGTTATTGACCAAATACTTATTTTCCACCATAATTTGCAAATAAATTCATTAAAAATCCTACAATGTGATTTTCTGGATTTTTTTTTCTCATTTTGTCTGTCATAGTTGACGTGTACCTATGATGAAAATTACAGGCCACTCATCTTTTTAAGTGGGAGAACTTGCACAATTGGTGGCTGACTAAATACTTTTTTTCCTCCACTGTACATCCAACATTTTTTAAAAGAATAACAATTTATTTATTTACTAGCAAGCAATGAAAATCTGCCTTGTATAAAAGAAAGTCCACAAATGCAACAATTTATTTACTGAAGTGCCATAGCCTATAGCGCTCTACACTCCGCGCAGATTAGCTGCTTGAGCATCAAAAGGACAGTTGGAAAGAGGAGGAGATGTAGAACATTTATAGACAGACTAAGTTAGCAAAACAATGTCTTATAATCATTAGTAAACACTCCACTATTAGGTAATGTTTATCTACACGAAAAGAAAGTAAAAATTGTTTTTATGAATGTCGGCGTATTTAAACGGTTTTGATGATCATTTTATTTTCATGACGTCTTCATCCATAACCGTCAGTTACACAGTTATTCAATTACTGTCACAAACCTATATACAACCTTATGTTATACTAGGAAAATTGGGTTTCCATAGCTGGGGCTGACAGTGAGGACTTGTGAAGACCAGACTCAACAACCTCTGCATCATCAAAACAGCTGCTTTGTGAGAAGGTGTTAAAATTAACACACAGATATGTTGTGCAGTGATGGAAAAAAAAAAAAAAAAAAAAAAAAAAAAAAAAAAAAGTTACATATCACAATATTATTTTGAGACAATGTTATTTTGCTACTGTTGGTAGAGTAATATCATATCATGAGGTCCCTGGCAATTCCAAGCCCTACACACACACACGCACGAGCAGAAGGCAGTGTTATGTGAGAGCTGTTCAGTTGGGAGTCTGTGGTGGACAGAGACAGGACAAACCTGATCTGCAACAACTCCACAGCTCAGAAACTCACTGCCCTAGGCAACAAAAAGAAGAACCCTGCATTGTGATGTTACAATTGCACAGGACAGAACTCTCGCACAGGAGTTCTTTATGATGTCTCAATCACAGGACAGAACTCTCGCACAGGAGTTCTTCATGATGTCTCAATCACAGGACAGAACTCTCGCACAGGAGTTCTTCATGATGTCTCAATCAAAGGACAGAACTCTCGCACAGGAGTTCTTTATGATGTCTCAATCAAAGGACAGAACTCTCGCACAGGAGTTCTTCATGATGTCTCAATCAAAGGACAGAACTCTCGCACAGGAGTTCTTCATGATGTCTCAATCAAAGGACAGAACTCTCGCACAGGAGTTCTTCATGATGTCTCAATTACAGGACAGAACTCTCGCACAGGAGTTCTTCATGATGTCTCAATCAAAGGACAGAACTCTCGCACAGGAGTTCTTTATGATGTCTCAATCACAGGACAGAACTCTTGCAATGGAGCACTTGATGTCACAATTAGGGTTGCAAAATTCCCAAAACTTTCAATAAATTCCCTGGTTTCCAGAAATCCTGGTTGGAGGATTCTGTATTTCCTGCTTATTACCTCCTGATTCCGGGAATCTTCCAAATGGGATTTTGTGAAAACCAAGGAATTTATTGACAGTTCCTGGAATTTTTCAACAGTAGTCACAGGTGCTGTTCTTGATGTCACAGGTGCTGTTCTTGATGTCACAGCCACACAGGATATTCCTCTGATTTCACAATAGCACAGGTGATCTCTGAGAAATCAGTCACACAGGCACAAAGTGACATTTGCAATGTCACAAACAAGGGTGATGATGTCACGGGGGGGCGTGTCTGTCTTACCTTCTAGGCTGAGAGCGCAGGTCCTCCTCCCCACTGCCGGACTCCTGAGGAGAGAAACACACAGCCGGTTAACACAACACACAGCACAGCACACAGCCGGTTAACACAGCACACAGCCGGTTAACACAACACAGCACACAGCCGGTTAACACAGCACAGCACACAGCCGGTTAACACAGCACAGCACAGCACAGCACACAGCCGGTTAACACAACACAACACAGCACACAGCCGGTTAACACAGCACAGCACACAGCCGGTTAACACAACACAGCACACAGCCGGTTAACACAACACACAGCACAGCACACAGCCGGTTAACACAGCACAACACAGCACACAGCCGGTTAACACAACACAGCACAGCACACAGCCGGTTAACACAGCACAGCACACAGCCGGTTAACAACACAACACAGCACACAGCCGGTTAACACAACACAACACAACACAGCACACAGCCGGTTAACACAACACAACACAACACAGCACACAGCCGGTTAACACAACACAGCACACAGCCGGTTAACACAACACAGCACACAGCCGGTTAACACAACACAACACAGCCGGTTAACAACACAGCACAGCACACAGCCGGTTAACACAGCACAGCACACAGCCGGTTAACACAGCACAGCACACAGCCGGTTAACACAGCACAGCACACAGCCGGTTAACACAGCACAGCACACAGCCGGTTAACACAGCACACATACAAGTAACAGAGAATGACTACAACAGGCTGCAGTCCAACTACCCCATTAGAGCAGAGAGACAGGCTGCAGTCCAACTACCCCTGTTAGAGCAGAGACAGGCTGCAGTCCAACTACCCCTATTAGAGCAGAGAGACAGGCTGCAGTCCAACTACCCCTATTAGAGCAGAGAGACAGGCTGCAGTCCAACTACCCTATTAGAGCAGAGAGAAGCTGCAGTCCAACTACCCCTATTAGAGCAGAGAGACAGGCTGCAGTCCAACTACCCCTATTAGAGCAGAGAGAGGCTGCAGTCCAACTACCCTTATTAGAGCAGAGAGAGGCTGCAGTCCAACTACCCCTATTAGAGCAGAGAGACAGGCTGCAGTCCAACTACCCCTATTAGAGCAGAGAGAGGCTGCAGTCCAACTACCCCTATTAGAGCAGAGAGAGGCTGCAGTACAACTACCCCTATTAGAGCAGAGAGACAGGCTGCAGTCCAACTACCCCCATTAGAGCAGAGAGACAGGCTGCAGTCCAACTACCCCTATTAGAGCAGAGAGAGGCTGCAGTCCAACTACCCTTATTAGAGCAGAGAGAGGCTGCAGTCCAACTACCCCTATTAGAGCAGAGAGACAGGCTGCAGTCCAACTACCCCTATTAGAGCAGAGAGACAGGCTGCAGTCCAACTACCCCTATTAGAGCAGAGAGACAGGCTGCAGTCCAACTACCCCTATTAGAGCAGAGAGACAGGCTGCAGTCCAACTACCCCTATTAGAGCAGAGAGACAGGCTGCAGTCCAACTACCCCTATTAGAGCAGAGAGACAGGCTGCAGTCCAACTACCCCTATTAGAGCAGAGAGACAGGCTGCAGTCCAACTACCCCATTAGAGAAGAGTTAGAGAGACAAGCCATTCAGCCTGGATTCAATTTGCTCTCCAGGAAAATGACCTCAGTCCGTTTATAAGGCGCGGTCCGAGAGAGAAACCCACCCAAACACAGACCCACCTCTAGTTCAGTAGGTTTCTGACAAGATAAGATCCTCTGGGTCCAATTTGAGTGTTCTTCCTGACTGTCACTGACCTGGTACACATCTCAGCTGATCTCCATAGTAACAACACAGATATAACAAGTTATATCTACCAGTATAATATCTATATTATACTGGTATATATATATATATATATATATATAACATGAATGGTTCTCTCATGTGAGATATATATATATATATATATATATCTCACATAAGAGAGAACCATTCATGTTTAGACTGAGGGAAGAAATCATGGCCAGAGCCTCAGCCTTCAAAATAGAAATCCATGAAGAGTGGGGAGACGGGTGTGGGTCAGGGTTACTATTGTGGACACATACAGCCAATTCAAATGCAGTGTGTGTTGGCCAGTGTGGTCAGATACCCAGGGAGTGGCCAGGCTGTTGTGTTTGTCTAGACAGGAAGTGGCCAGGCTGTTGTGTTTGTCTAGACAGGAAGTGAGAGGAGTAGCACAGATTCCCCAGTCGGGACATTTACATACATGCAAAACCCTCAGGGTTTGTTTTTCAGTGTGTATGGAAATGTGTGTTGTGTGTGTCAGCCATAATGTGTGTGTGTGTGTGTGTCAGTCATAATGTGTGTGTGTGTTTTAAGGCGTCTGCAGGATAGGACAGGTAGGAAAACAGAGCAGGCAGCAGAGAGATGAGGTGAATCCTCCACCGCCCTCAGCCATTCAACATCTTCCACTTGGACCATTTACCCTATTAGTCAGAGAAGGAAGGGTGTAGTTATCTACTGAGTGCAGGCTTCCCTCGACTCCATGGACTCTTCCAGCAGCAGAGTGTGTGTGTGTGTGTGTGTGTGTGTGTGTGTGTCTGGCTCTCAAAGGCCCTCATTGTCAAGGCAACACAGCATTGGAGCTGGCCAGGTTCACCACAGGGTTCCAGAGAGAGAGAGAGAGAGAGAGAAAGAACATCCAGCGGGCATCTCTCAAGACACCTCACAGTCAGGATGTCACACACACACACACACCACACTGAGCCGTGGGACACAGCGTGTGTGTGTGTGACAGAGAGAGTATGTGTTATGTGTGTGTATGGGGCAAGGGAGTGTGCAAGGCAAGGCTATCATCTGAACTAATTCACAGAACCTGTTTGGTGGGGGGGGAATGCAGAGAGAGACGTCAATGACCGGGTCTCGTACAAGATCACAAATGCTGGCAAGGAACATTCTCCCCCCATACCTCTAACTCAGCACTGTCGTTGACTCCAAACTGGCTCAACTGGTCATAAGACAGTTCAAGGATACGGACTGACAACAAGAACCATGGTGGTGGTTTTTAGGTTGGGTTGGGGAGGGTGAGGGTAGAGGTGTGTATGAGTGGGTGAGGGTAGAGGTGTGGGTGAGTGGGTGAGGGTAGAGGTGTGTGTGAGGGTAGAGGTGTGTGTGAGTGGGTGAGGGTAGAGGTGTGGGTGAGTGGGTGAGGGTAGAGGTGTGTGTGAGTGGGTGAGGGTAGAGGTGTGGGTGAGTGGGTGAGGGTAGAGGTGTGGGTGAGGGTAGAGGTGTGGGTGAGTGGGTGAGGGTGGAGGTGTGGGTGAGGGTAGAGGTGTGGGTGAGGCTAGAGGTGTGTGTGAGGGTAGAGGTGTGGGTGAGGGTAGAGGTGTGGGTGAGGCTAGAGGTGTGTGTGAGCTGGGTGACCAAGGGACAACATTTTTGTAAACACCTTTGCCTTAGTTTGAGAGAGGCTCTTCTTGCAACTAAACTGTTACGCCACAAACAAGAGCTGCTTCCCTGATATGCTGACAGACTGACTCACTAGAGCACTAACACTCAACCTCTGGCAGCAGTTTCAGAATCAGAATTACCTTTATTCGCCAAGTATATTTAAATGTGATTCTGAAACAGCCGCCAGGAGGTTATGATTGATTGTGATAGTGAGTTTGTGGTGTTGACCGGTGTTAGACACGTGTGTGCTTGGCGGTGCAGCGCTTCAGTGTTTTATACTTAAAAAAAAAAAAATTACGTTAATATTTCTAAGACACTAACATTTCATACTTTTAAAACTTTTGTTTTCGGGACCACGTTGTTGGTGCTGCTGCTTTCAACATGCCGTGTTCGGCTGGACTGTTTCAGTCTCCTGGAGCTAGCGTTAGCAGGCTAGCTTCGACTATCTAGGACACCTGGCTGTAACCGGCAAAGCTTGTCTCACGTCGCGGATGGCTCTTGTAGCCGGGACCGCCGTTTCTGACCCGAGAATAGGCACGTCGGACTCCTCTGTTTTGGAGTCGGATCCCGAGATGGACAGCAAAGTCATAAAATGTGAGACCTGTGACATGTTGATTGTAGTCAAAGAGGAAGAGTATACTATATACACTTGTGATAAACGCAAACAGCTCCGTGTCTCAAAGGAGTGGATCATTGAGTTACTGGAGGAGAATAGGCTCCTAAGAGAACGTCTCGCTCTGGCTAAGAAGACTTCAATACTGCATGCTGTGTTTGATGCGGAAATTCTACACGACCGAGGGGATAATCCAGGGTGCTCTATGAGATTGGGCTCCTCTGCAGTAGCTACTGAGGATACTACCTTGGACCACTTTCCCGTTTTAAACACATCCCACCGATGAGAATCAGATCATTTTGCTCTACTCCATCTACTCGGAAGCAAAGTGGAATAATTTCAACGCATCCTCCTTCTCGTCCAGATCTAACCGTCTTTCAGTTCTGAGCCCCCTAACTTCACCGGCTCTAACCGTTTTTCAGCTCTGAGCCCCCTAACTTCACCTGGACCCTCCGATGGGGATTTACGCCGCTCCCCCGAACTCACCCTCTCCTGGATGACTAAAAATCGGCCATTTCCTGATATTTTTGTTGTTGTATTTTATTAGGATCCCCATTAGCTGTTTGCGAAAACAGCAACTACTCTTCCTGGGGTCCACACAAAACATGACATAATACAGAACATTAATAGACAAGAACCGCTCAAGGACAGAACGACATCAATTAAAAAATGGCCCACGTAGCCTACATATCAACACATACACACAAACGATTTAGGTAAAATAGGGGAGAGGCGTTGTGCCGTGAGGTGTTGCTTTATATGTTTTTTGAAACCAGGGTTTGCTCTTCTTTTGAGCAATATGAGATAGAAGGAGTTCCATGCAATAATGTCTCTATATAAAATACTGTACGCTTTCTTGAATTTGTTCTGGATTTGGGGACTGTGAAAAGACCCCTGGTGGCATGTCTGCTGGGGTAAGTGTGTGTGTCAGAGCTGTGTGTAAGTTGACAATGCAAACAATTTGGGATTTTCAACACATTAATGTTTCTTATAAAAAGAAAGAGTGATGCAGTCAGTCTCTCCTCAACTCTTAGCCAAGAGAGACTGGCACGCATAGTATTTATATTAGCCCTCTGATTACAATGAAGAGCAAGACATGCCACTCTGTTCTGGACCAGCTGCAGCTTAACTAGGTCTTTCCTTGCAGCACTGGACCACACGACTGGACAACAATCAAGATTAGACAAAACTAGAGTCTGCAGAACTTGCTTTTTGGAGTGTGGTGTCAAAAAAAGCAGAGTCTCTTTATTACGGACAGACCTCTCCCCATCTTTACAACCATTTAATCTACATGTTTTGACCATGACAGTTTACAATCTAAGGTAACAACTTGTTCAACAGCCACACCATTCATTACCAGATTCAGCTGAGGTCTAGAACTTAGGGAATTATTTGTACCAAATCCAATTATCTTAGTTTCAGAGATGTTCAGGACCAGTTTATTACTGGCTACCCATTCCAAAACAGACTACAACTCTTTGTTAAGGGTTTCAGTGACTCCATTAGCTGTGGTTGCTGATGTGTATATGGTTGAATCATCAGCAAACATGGACACACATGCTTTGTTTAATGCCAGTGGCAGGTCATTGGTAAAAATAGAAAAGAGAAGAGGGCCTAGAGAGCTGCCCTGCGGTACACCACACTTTACATGCTTGACATTAGAGAAGCTTCCATTAAAGAAAACCCTCTGAGTTCTATTAGATCGATAGCTCTGAATCCACAATATGGCAGAGGTTGAAAAGCCATAACACATAAGTTCTCTCAACAACAGGTTATGGTCAATAATGTCAAAGTCTGCGCTGAAATCTAACAGTACAGCTCCCACAATCTTCTTATTATCAATTTCTTTCAACCAATCATCAGTCATTTGTGTCAGAGCAGTACATGTTGAGTGCCCTTCTCTATAAGCATGCTGAAAGTCTGTTGTTAATTTATTTACAGAGAAGCATTGTAATTGGTCAAACAATTTTTTTTCCAACAGTTATCTAAGAGCTGGTAGCAAGCTGATAGGTCTGCTGTTAGAACCAGTAAAGGCTGCTTTACCACTCTTGGGTAGCGGAATGACTTTGGCTTCCCTCCAGGCCTGAGGACAAAGACTTTCCTCTAGGCTCAGATTAAAGATATGACAGATAGGAGTGGCTATAGAGGCAGCTACCATCCTCAGTAGCTTTCCATCTAAGTTGTCAATGCCAGGAGGTTTGTCTTTATTGATCAATAACAATTTTTCCACCTCTCCCACATTAACGTTTACAAAATTCAAACTTGCAATGCTTTTCTTTCATGATTATTTTTTTTATACATAAGTATGACGGCTCACTGTTCGTTGTTGGCATTTCCTGCCTAAATTTGGCCACTTTTCCAATGAAGTAATCATTAAAATGATTGGCAACATCAAATGGTTGTGATGAATATGCCATCTGATTCAATGAAAGATGGAGTTGAATTAGTCTTTCTTCCCATAATTTCATTTAAAAGTACTCCAAAGTTTCTTTACATCATTGATCTTGGCTTCATAATACAGTATTCTTCTTTCTGTTGAGTTTAGTCATATCATTTCTCAATTTGCGGTAAGCCAGACCTGTTAGCCACTCCTTATGCCCCATCTCTTTCAACCATACAATTGTTCAATTTCTCATCAAACCATGAAGCTTTAACAGTTCTTAACAATCAGTTTCTTAACAGCTGCATGTTTATCAATAATTGGAAGAAGCTATTTCATAAATTCATCAAGTGCAGTGTCTGGATGCTCCTTATTAATCACATCAGACCAACAAATATTTTTAACATTACCCACATAACAGTCACAACAAAATCTTTTGTATGATCTCTTCTAAACTATTTTGGGCCCAGCTTTTGGAACTTTGGCTTTCCTGGATATATGATCACTGGGTACAGATACAGCTTTAGAACAATGTTCTACAATATAAGAAAAAATGTGATCAATACATGTGGCTGATCTTGTTCCTGTAGTGTTTGTAAACACTCTAGTATGTTGATTAATAACCTGAACCAGATTACAGGCACTGGTTTACAGTGAGAAGCTTCCTCTTGAGCGGACAGCTTGATGAAAACCAATCAATATTTAGGTCCCCAAGAAAGTAGACCTCTCTGTTTACATCACATACACTATCAAGCATTTCACACGTTATTTAGATACTGACTGTTAGCACTTGGTGGCCTATAGCAACACCCCAAAAATAAAAAGGCTTTCGATGTGCCAAGTGAACCTGCAACCACAACACCTCAATAACACTTGACATAAGATCTTCTCTAAGCATTACAGGGATATGGCTCTGAATATATACAGCAACACCTCCCCCATAAGCATTGCTGTCTCTTCTATAGATGTTATATCCTTGACCATCACACTCTTATTCAAAGGTTGACTGAAATAGGCCTGGATCAGGCTTTTTGCAAGTGGTTTGATAATTATCTGTCAGATAGGACTCAACGTGTGATTTCTGATGGTGTGAAGTCTAGTTTCCTTGATAATACAAAAGGTGCAGGGGTCGGTACTGGGACCTGTTCTCTTTACTATTTATATAAATAATATTGGTCTATCTGTTAAAACGTGTCATATTCCTCTGTATGCAGATGACACTGTTATATACAGTGCATCCGGAAAGTATTCAGACCCCTTGATGATTTCCACATTTTGATACAGCCTTATTCTAAAATTGATTAAATTGTTATTTTCCCCTCATCAATCTACACACAATACCCCATAATGACAAAGCAAAAACAGGTTTAGACATTTTTGCAAATGTATACGAAATAAAAAATGGAAATATCATATTTACATAACTATTCAGACCCTTTACTCAGTACTTTGTTGAAGCACATTTACAGCCTCGAGTCTTCTTGGGTATGACCCTACAAGCTTGGCACACCTGTATTTGGGTATTTTCTCCCATTCTTCTCTGCAGATCCTCTCAAGCTCTGTCAGGTTGGATGGGGAGCGGGCTGTCATGTGCCTTTTACTGAGGAGTGGCTTCCGTCTGGCCACTCTACCATAAAGACCTGATTGGTGGAGTGCTGCAGAGATGGTTGTCCTTCTGGAAGGTTCTCCCATCTCCACAGAAGAACTCTAGAGCTCTGTCAGAATGACCATAGGGTTCTTGGTCACCTCCCTGACCATGGCCCTTCCCCCTCGGTTGCTCAGTTTGGCCAGGCGGCCAGCTCTAGGAAGAGTCTTGGTGGTTCCAAACGTCTTCCATTTAAGAATGATGGAGGCCACTGTGTTCTTGGGGACCTTCAATGCTGCAGAAATGTGTTGGTACCCTTCCCCAGATCTGTGGCTCGAGACAATCCTGTCTCTGAGCTCTACGGACAATTCCTTCGACCTCATGGCTTGGTGTTTGCTCTGACATACACTGTCAACTGTGGGACCTTATATTAGATAGGTGTGTGCCTTTCCAAATCATTTCCAATCAACTGAATTTACCACAGGTGGACTCCAATCAAGTTGTAGAAACATCTCAAGGATGATCAATGGAAACAGGATGCACCTGAGCCCAATTTCGAGTCTCATAGCAAAGGGTCTGAATACTTATGTAAATAATGTATTTTTGTTTTGTATTTTTTATAAATTAGCAAAAATGTCTAAACCTTTGTCATTATGGATATTGTGTGTAGATTGATGAGGAAATGTTTTTATTTAATCAATTTTAGAATAAGGCAGTAACGTCACAAAATACGGAAAAGATCAAGCGGTCTGAATATTTTCCGAAGGCACTGTATGCCATTGACCCAACTGTGGACCAGGCTATGTTAAAAACTGCAATGTGACTTTGTTGCCTTGTTAAAACAGCAATGTGACAATGTTGCCTTGTTAAAACAGCAAAGTGACTTTGTTGCCTTGTTAAAAACAGCAAAGTTACTTTGTTGCCTTGTTAAAAACAGCAATGTGACTTTGTTGCCTTGTTAAAAACAGCAATGTGACTGTTGCCTTGTTAAAAACAGCAATGTGACTTTGTTGCCTTGTTAAAAACAGCAAT